ATCTTCGGAACACAAATTAAGATATTTTTGATGGAATCTGAGAGCTCTCTGACCCTCCCATAGACAGCAACACAACTGAAATGTCACAGAAACGTAGCAAGGACATCGGTAAAACAGTCCATGTGACATCAGTGGCTCAACTTCAATTTTGCGAAGCTACGAGAAAACTTTTTATGCGCAAGAGTACATCTTGTCCTACCTCATGTTTCCTCTTGTCTCCTGGGGCTGTGAGAATGAGGAGCATTCCTTTATCATCATCACAGCATTATTCAGATGCCCGCCGTACTCTCCTGTCACGTTCCACCTGGCTCGGGGGTTTCCATGGAAACAGTGTGGAGTGACAACATGCAGGCAGCGTGTGAGTGGGCACTGGGAGGTGTGGGGAGGAGCCAGTTCCCCCACTGCAGCATCCGAAGAGCGGGGATCTCTCTTTCACACACACAAACACACACACAACTGAACATCCTCCTTACTGCAATCAAAGCCCCTCTGGACCGAGTGTGTGCCCCCCCGCTAGGAATCCTCAGTGTCTTAATCAGCCAGTGTTTTGTCCATCTCTGGTGAATCTCAAGCCAAAATGTCTTCTAAGCTGCCTTCAGGCAAACCCACGTCCCCTTTCAGGAAGAGAGGCAGCCTGCAGTACACAGCCAGTGGGGGTAAGTGTGTTTGTTCAAAAACAATATCGATATATAAAAGTGTGTGTGTGTGTGTGTGTGTGTGTGTGTGTGTGAGAGAGAGAGAGAGTGCGGTAGAAATGTGACGGAAATGGAGAACAGAATGTGTATTTACATGTACATTTTTATGTATACATGTACATTTTTACATGCACATTTCATATATTCAGCATATTTTTATGCAGGTTCCTTTTCACATTTGACTTTTATGCGCCAAATGTTCAGGAGAGTTTCAGTAATCCAGCATCCCCCATAATGTAGAAACTTTTATACCTGTTGGTTTGAGGGAAACTGTTGCAACCTTTCCATGACTGTGTGTTCTTATTTTCTGTCTCTCTCCTTCTTATGGGTCCCTGCAGAGCTAAAACTTATACTTTACATGAATATTTTTCTCTCTGAAATGAGAGCTCCTGTAATAATAGCTCCTGGATCTGTATTTGATATTTCTCAGATGAGCAGAAAGAGGAAGTTATGCATTACACATCATTTCTGACCATAATTACATGGCAGTACTTAGCTGATTTTGTTTGTGACCACAACCCCTCAATTCCTGAATAAATTCAACCAGATAATGTTCCTGATTCAATTGCAAGAATGCCAGATGAGGGAAATCAAACATGCACCAGTTACAGCAGTGACTGGTCTAGAGCACATCCATAAAATGCATGCAACACATTGTCTGTGGTCAGGCCAGCATTGCGTAAGGCTTACATAAGATCCGATCCAAAAACCACTTCACACCTCTCTCCCGCAGAAAAACTGTGATTTTATCCAGTGCTAGAAGCACAAACACGTTTGCTTAGGCGTTGCATGTATTCATTAGATCTTCATGCCTCTGATGTTGTGGTTAAACCCTGAAACAGTGTTCTGGAAAGTGCATTTATCTCTGGTTGAGTGCAAAACCACACAGAGATAAATGTTGAGACTCATTTGTCTTGCTGTGCCAGGATAATTTCATGAGTCTGAGGCAGGAAATGTTATCAAAAAGCATCTTCACCACAGAGATGGAGTAATCATCTGAGCATGGAGGCTTAGCAGGTGGCATATTGCTACTGTCTTTTAAAAATTATACAAAATGAAAAGTGAATCCATGCAGTTTCAGACAACCACAGTTACAGTCATAAACACACAAAACAGTTCTCTTTCTCTCTTTTACACGCACACATGCACCAATTATAGTCAGTGCTTTGATTTAAATGAAAAAAGTCCTTTAAATATTTTTTTTAGAGACACTACGACATGCAATATTTAAAATTCCTCTCGCATTTCAGCAGCAATCAAGTGTCTGATTACTGAAAGCCTGTGTGTGCTTTTACAGTGGCTCATTCTTGACATATTAATTAACCCTAAATGTGCAAATACAAGGTATGATTTGGAAGAAAGGCCTCATTGAAAACACATGGATGGATAGATGTTCCATTTCGCTTTGAAGAAATAACAGCTTTCAGATCCACATTTCTGGTGTGTTTAATGCTCCTGATTCTTTTCTTTTGTGTTTGGCTTTGCTTGTAGTCTAAACTTACCTGACTTTTATTTCTAGGCCATAGGAAAAATATTACAGTGCGTTTTGGTGCCAGTTTCAACAGAATATTTGAATTAAGGTGACTTGAACGTTCTTTTAAAGAGGCACAATATATTGTCATATTGTATTGGAGGATAAATGAGTGTGTTTTTGTAAATGTGAAATTGTAAGGTGTACGTTTTTTTTGTTTTTGTTAATGTTTTTTTTTTTTAATCCATGGCACACAGACATTTTTTTCCCCTTTTATAATTCTTTTTTATATTTGCGAATTGTGTGTTTTTTTCAAATATTTCATTACATTTGTATATATGGACTTTTAAGTAGTCAGTCAAAATATTGATTGATATGTAGTATAAATAATTGTTGATTATTGTTTTGGGCATAATTATTGATTATAGTATTAGGCAAAATTTCCAGATTGGTGCATCTGTAGGTTTTGTATTCTTACAAGTTTCATAGAATTACAGCATCATGGAAAAATTAAATTCCATGCAACATTCATTGCATTTCTCTCACATTTTAGAGGCCTCTAATAACATGCCTTGAATAACCTTTGACTAACATTTAGTTTAATCCCCCAGCAGTCAATGTACAATTATATTGCTGTTTGTGTTGATTATATTTATAACCGCTACCTGATGAGTGTCTTGCCATGAGTCACTTGAGGTCTGTACACAGAGCTCTTCCTGTTAGGTTGGGTTGGGACCCTGTCTGTCTTACATTATGGTCACTCAAATGTTTCATAACCATCTCACTTTATTTCTCTGATCATTAAAGATGGAAAAGATAAGGCTGACCCGATTGACTCTACTTAAACTATTCTTAAAGGCACACATGTCAGTGTGCCACCAATTCGTGCTCTTTGTAGTGGTAAGATGGGAAGTTTAATGGTATAACTTGGTCATAGTTCATGTTTCAGTCTCCAGCTTTCTCTATACCACACATTAAATGTTGCTACGCTTTGAACTTTAACCCCTGTGGTGCCTCACTTTGCCTTCAGTGTGGTATGGAAGAGGAGGGATTCTTTAAAGGAGCCCATTTACTGCCTCCCACACCATTTTGCTACTATTTAGAGTTGTTTTTTCCAAATCCACCCAACCCTTTTCTTCCCAAGATTTCCAGACACTTCACCAATGAGGTCGGAAGTTTATGGTTCCTTAAAGACCCTTGTGCTTTTACAACAGTATAGTTAGACACTTAATATTTATAGGTGTATATGAGTGTTTGTGGATTGAATTAAGCACAGTAGTTGTGAAAGGCAGTTGAAAGAATGAGTTTTTCTATGATCGTAAAATCCAAAGAACTAACTGTTTTGCTGTTGTCCACTAGGTGGGACTAGCAAGACATTTTTCCAAGCAAGCATACTTCATGTTCACCATACAATATTCATTTGCTGTATCTCAAGATTTTAAATATGCATTTTTTTTCCTGCTTCTGCTTGTTTTCTTGGAGAGTGCTTATCTACAATTTAAAGTAAAAAGGCTTAATTTACCAAATAAATAATCAACAACTATTGAAACTCATGGGTTTCAATAGTTATTATAATATTAAATAGTTATTATAATAATTGGCTTCAGTATATATTTTAGAAAAGCTTTACAACAGTTTGTGTAAAGTTCACCCAAAAATGAAAATCCTGTCATCGTTTACTCACCCTGCTCTTGTTCCAAACCTGTATGAGTTTCATTCTTCTGTTGAACACAAAAGAATGGAAAAAGTCAATGGCTCAACTGTTTCCATACTCATACTATTTTTGAACAAGCGGAGGGGGAGTAAATAATGACAGAACTTTCATTTTTGGTGAACTATCCCTTTAATACATTAGGTGTCATTTTTAGTTCAAACTCGTCTGTTAATACATTAAATGTAAATTTGTATTAGTGTGTGGACATTAACAATCTAATTAAGACTGCTATTAAAGTATTGTTCATTGTTAGTTCATTGATAACTAATGCTAACAAATATACCATTTATATTGGTGGATGTTTATTTCATTTAATTTCTTATTTTATTTTACTTTATTATTGTTTCCCAAACAAAGGGCTTCAATCACAGGAACAAATAAAAGCAATTGGTCTCTAGAGGCTCACAAAAACCTCATCAGTGCAATCGTTGTCCCTTTTTCTCTCTCTGATGTCTTCATCAAAGCCTTTTTCCTCTAAAAGAGGAGCAGAATTCTGGGATGCTATTGTTCCCTCTGATTAAACAGCTTCAGATGATCAGAAACACCTCTCAAATACAAGAGCAGCCTCTGGATACAAGAGCAGAATCATTTACACCCTATATAGGTTTCTATGGGTTTAAGCGACAAAGCAGATTACACACTTCATCCACAGTAATGCTTAGCTCAAAATTCAGTTGACAGTGATGGTTTGCTGACAGCTCCAGTATAATGATAAACCCATTATCTTGACTGTTTAAACTGGCCAGATCTCTTATAAATCTTGTCCAATACTAGTTTCTTCTTCTGTTGACAAAAAAGCTGCGATGACCTCTATTTCAGCTGCCAAGGGAGTCTCTCTATGTCTGTCCCTTTTTCAAAATATCCTCCAGCGTTTTCGCATTCACTGCAGTAGTCTTGTTAAAGCGTCACGGAGGTGAAGGACAGGGGGGTGTAGAGAGGTGCTGTCGAGCCCACTCTGTCACAGAGACAGCAGTGATGCTGTTGAGTTCCCCCTGCCCCTGAAGGCCAGGTGGTACGATCCAGCCATGTGTCAGGGATATTTAAATGAGAGGGGGATGACAGGGGCTAGTCCAGACAGCTGGCAGGAACCAGGAAGAAGAGGGAGGGGAGAGTGGATGCTTCGGCTCCATCAGCTGTGTTTACTGTATGTATGTGGGACAGATTGAATCACAAGACAACGTGTGCGAGTGAGTGAGAAATGAATGACAGACATGTATTGCTGGAGATGTGTGTTGGTTTAGGAAGTGTAGCTTTGTGTTTGCTACATGTTCTTTCTGTCACTCTTCTTTTATTCTGCCCTTTCTGACCTGTTTTGGGAGATTTCCAGCAATAGTTTGCATGTATCTTTTCATCTGAGATATTTATTTTCTTCTTTTCATTCTCTTGTTTCTCTCCATCTCTAAGCTCTCAGCTGTGTTGCTGTCAGCTCATGTTTTTCCCTTGGGAGTCATGCATTTGTGTGTGTGTGTGTGTGTGTGTGTAGCTGAAAGATGGTGTGTGTGAATGTATTGATTGTCCTCAGTATTGTCCTGTTTTGAAGGTGTTGTGGTCAGCGTTGTGTTTCACAGATGACATATTAAGTGGACAGTTGAAGGAGTAATAGAGAAGGATGCTGCTTGGATGTGGTCTTTGTATGAGATTGCGTCTGTTTAAAGGAAAAGAGGTTATGAGGCCTCCAAACCCTACTGGGGAATCCAGTTTAAGCTGGTCGATGTGTTTTGGTTTCTTGCAGATGGTTTCTAATAGATCCGCGCATGTAGATCGTCTTGGACGATCAGCAAACCAGCTACCAGGTGGTTTCAAGCATGGTTTAGGTCGACTAGCTAGAAACCAGCTACCATGTTCCAAAACACAACAATTTTCCAACAGGAAACACACGGACAGGAGTTTATTATTCTAAATGGATCACTGCGAGCTGTAGTTGTAGTCATGTGATTTCACATAAATCTTGAATGTGTTTCATAGTTTTATGTACTAAATGGTGATTGAGTCTCTACTCTGACAGTTCCAGGTTAATTTACACCTATCTTGTAGGGTCATGTCAGGTGTTAAATGTGCGAACAAAGGGATGCAGCATCAGGTTGCCATAGCGACAGTGACTGGCCCTGATTGGAGTTGGTGAGGTAACCGTAATCCTCAGCATGGCTCGGTTTTGCTCAGGATTTCATGAAGTATGTCAGTGTTAGCATTAAAACCAGCTGCTAATATAATTTTAGATCACACATTAGTCTTATTGTTATATAAGACTTCCCTCAGCTTCCCCAGTGATGTTTGTATATTTCTGCATTTATGGAACATATGAGATTTCATAATCAGAACTTTTGTGATAATACTACATACAAAATATTTTTAAAAATGTTTTTGCAAGAAGTCTCCCCTGCTCACAGAGGCTGCATTTATTTGACCAAAAACAGAGTAAAAACAGTAATATTGTGAAATATTATTACAATTAAAAAAAACTGCAATACAAAAACATCACATGCAAAACTCACCCAAATAACAGATAAGTACAGTGTACAATACAGTACAGAAGAAACTGTAGAAAAGAACAGCAGTCATTACTCCAGTCTTCAGTGTCACATTAATCTTCAGAAATCATTCTAATAAGCTGCTTTGATGCTCAAGAAACATTTCTTATTATTATCAATGTTGAAAACAGTTGAGCTGCTTAATATTTTTGTGGAAATGTGATAAATGTTTTTCAGGATTCTTTGTTGAATAGTTCAAAAGAAAAGCATTTATGAGAAACAGAAATCTTTTAGTAACATCTTAAATGTCTTTTACTGTAACTTTTGATCAATTAAATGCATTATTGCTGAATAACAGTATTCATTTCTTTTTTTTTTAAATCCCAAAATTTTGAATGGTATTGTACATACTTATATTTGATAGAAAGCAGAATCAAATTAAATAATTAATTAATTAAATGTAATTTTTATAAAATTATCCAAATGTAATTGATTTTAAAAGATATAATATTTAAAAATTAAATAATTAACAAATATGAAGTACACACAAGCGGATAAATACACAAATATTATGCAACTTTTAAATGAAACGTACTTGTTGAGCAGGATGGTGTCTACGACCTATCAGACGGTCTGATCTTTGACCTCATCTCCTGTGTCATAGAGGGGCACTGGTCATTCTAGTGCTGTTCTTATCTCTCAGCTCTATATCTCACTACACTGATTATTCACCTCTCCCATTCTTAAATATGTGACATTTATAGACCCTCATTCTAGAATGTTTACCATCAGAATCGATAACTCCATTACCTGTGTTTTGTAATTGCACGGTTGAAGCTCATCCGTACAGAAGAGGTTAGCCACTCTGACCAGTTTTGAGTGTTTTTCTGCTTTGCTGTTTATGTAGTGATCCTGTGTTTGAGGGGGATGGTGGTTATGTAACAAGCATGAAACTCCCAAAATAACACACGTGAGAAGAAGATTATACACACGCCAGTGGGTCTATCAGTCTCCACCTGCGGCTTTTCACTGTTCTATACACACACACGCATGTCAAAAATCCTGACAAAATCTCTTGCTATAATCTTCTTTATGCTTTAGCTTGCAGTTAAGTGAGAAATGTGTAGGCCGTGATCGTGAGGAGGTAAATGAGAAGTGTGAAAAGAGAGAGTGTGATTATAAGTGTGAGGTTGTGCGTGCATCTCATGCTGAGTCTATCTGTGATGTGTGCTAATGAACTGTCATTGTCATAATTAGTCCACCCATCTAGGCCTGTGAAAAGGCCACACAGATTTTAGCACCGAGTTCATCTCCTAGACAATCCTGTCGTTAATTACCTTCAATAAACTCACTGATAAGTATGTTACACATTAACTTTGCCAGAACAGTAAAACAATGAGCAGCAGGACCTTATGAAGCATTATGTAAACTCCAGTAGAATGAGGGTTAGTATAACATGACTCCATACCGGCAGCTATGGGCCACATCCGCTGATACCAAACTTTAAATTATTCAGTTCTGCTACTCTCGTTTGTGTTTGAGCGCTGTGGATAATTACACGGCAGTGGTTCGTAATTACCGGTAGTACTTGAGTCTAAGCAGGCGGATGGCGATTCGTACTTTCTGCAAGGAGAATGTGTGCAGTACATCAAATGGCATTGTTATAACAAAGTCTTTGTTATTGAGGTTATGAATAGGAATCATGGTAAAGCTCTAGAAAAACAACAAACGTCAATCCCTTAGAGGATGACAGTGACTTAAGTATTTTCATTGCGAAAGTATTGTATCCTCAAAATCTGCTGTATTTAGGAAGACAAAACAATGTGTTTTATCTACTCAAAATTAAGCCATGTTTATTATGTCACAGCACATTTTATGCAAATCAGTCTGGAGTAGATCTTTTCAACTTTGTTTAACATGATATGTCAAGTTTTCTGACATACTTATATCTAGTTTAACAGTAAAACATAATCAAATTACACTGTTCAAAAGTTTGGGGTTGGTAAGATTTTTAAAATGTTTTTTAAATAAGTCTATGTTCACCAAGACAGCATTTTTTCGATCAAAAATAAAGTAAAAACAGTACAGCTGTTCAGCAGTCTTCAGTGTCACATGATCCTTCAGAAATCATTCTAAAAGGCTGATTTGGTGCTCAAGAAACATTTCTTATTATTATAAATTGTTGAAAGTTGTTCTGCTGCTTACTGACAATTTTGATCAATTGAATGCGCGTCCTTGTTGAATAATAATAAAAAAATTCTAACCCCAAACCTTTGAATGGATGTGCACCTGAGAAGCACAATTTTGTATGTATTCAAGATTCTATCAAATCTTTAAAGTTTAAGAATTTTTCATGTTTTTAGGCAAAAAAATCTTCAATTTATGCTAAAATAAAAAACAAAAAAATAATCTTAAAGATTAAACTTGAATTGCTTTTTAACGCTATTCTGAAAATATTCACTATTGCTTTTTCAATCATATTTACGTTTTGCTTCTCAAATGAATTTACACTCGATGTAACACTTGAACAATGTAACACTTGACAGAACTGAAGTGGAACGTTGTTAAATACTATTTTTTTAATGTAATGCAGTGTCATTAATCCAGTGTTGAGGAAGTCATTTGGTTTAATTTATATGAGTAATTCAGATTAAGGGTGAAACTGTAAAACCAGGAGATCAAAACAACAGCGATTAACAAGCACATACATTTATACAGATTAAGAATTATACAGCAAGGGATTTAAACTACAAGAGTAAATGATTATGCTGCTACGATGAAAAGAGCTTCCACAGACAGAAAAAACTTCATGCTAAGTGTAGCTTTTCATAATGATGGATTCGTCTCAGGCTTAAAATGGGAAGTTTCAGCTCTTAGTAAAACATCGATGAATATGTCAATATAGCAACTGCTGAGCTCATCACGTGATCTCAGGATGAATTCAGGCCCAGAAAGCAGCTGTTACCTGTATTGTAACTACTGCAGATCTTTTGTAGCCCACAGGTTAGTGTGCCCTAAAGTGCTGCTACTGTAAGTGCACTGGTATTGCAAACTATTTTTGAGATTTGCCACATTTTTAGATCTGCAGGAACTTCATGAATCCTGCTGGTGGCTGTAACAAGGGGAATCCATCTATATACCCGGTCCGTTTCCTGTGTGCTTTCACGGTGGGACGAGATGTCCAGTTCTCTGCAGTGCAGGGGCTAGACATGGCTGCTTAATTATTCATCAGGGTTATGAATATTTGATCAAGTGTCAGAGTTTAGGAAGATTGCTATCACTCATGGGAACTATGGAACTCGAGCAGAAGGGTAAAGTGAACTCACGGTAAAGTGAAAGTGTTTGGAAGCATTTGTTTGTGAAGCAAAATATTGTGATAATAAAATATTTCAGATCTGTGATAATAACTGAATATGGAAGGAAAATCATGCTTAATCATACTTTGGCTTACAATATAACATATAAATACAATACAATATAAAATGCTCCATTGTTTTGTGAGCCAAACAGTTGCGGATCTTCAGCAGCTTTCTGACCCTGCCTTTCTCTGGACAGCAGAAAAACAAGGCTAAATAAAATGGATCACAATTTATCCTCAAATGTTTTTCTCCATATTCATTTCCGCAAGATCAGAATGTTTTAAAAATGAAAGCCAATTAAGACATCTCTGTTGAAATATAAAGATCTCTCTCTCTCATTATCTTCCTAGTAGATCTCCGTGTTGGCCGACACCTCCTCACGTCCCAGTATTCTTTGCCTGGCAACCCTGTAACCAAGCACGGCCACGTTGACCTGCGCACTTCCATGGATGGCAAATACAAAGAGATTGCAGAGGTAAACAAAGCAGCAATCACAATAATCACGATGCTTGAATGCATTTTTTTGTGTTTGTTTCTGCTGTTATATAAATGTGTGCTTAATTGTGTTTGTTTAGGAGCTGTTCTCGCGCAGCCTCGCGGAGAGTGAGATGCGGAGTGCTCCATATGAGTTCCCTGAGGAGAGCCCTATTGAGCAGCTGGAGGAGAGGCGGCACCGGCTGGAGCGGCAAATCAGCCAGGATATCAAGTACTACATCCTATCATTCATCATGAAACTCGACCATTGACAGTAGTGCCTAAAATACACAAGCTTTCTGACTTTTTCTCAGTAATATTAAACATATCCATGATTATAACCATGTTTATAACCTCGTAACCTTCAAAGTTCCTAAAGCCAGATGGCCAACAAATTTTTAATGTCGAAGTAAAGCTAATGCTAGTAAAGTAGTAAAGCTAGTCAACCAACAGATGTACTATTGTTACACAGGACGCAACAAAATATTATAGAAACCATTAAAATCAGTGATGCTGTCTACACTGGATACGACACGACAAATCCCTGACAGTAAACTGCTGCCTCTCTGCAGTGCAGGGGCTAGACATGGCTGCTTAATTATTCATCAGGGTTATGAATATTTGATCAAGTGTCAGAGTTTAGGAAGATTGCTATCACTCATGGGAACTATGGAACTCGAGCAGAAGGGTAAAGTGAACTCACGGTAAAGTGAAAGTGTTTGGAAGCATTTGTTTGTGAAGCAAAATATTGTGATAATAAAATATTTCAGATCTGTGATAATAACTGAATATGGAAGGAAAATCATGCTTAATCATACTTTGGCTTACAATATAACATATAAATACAATACAATATAAAATGCTCCATTGTTTTGTGAGCCAAACAGTTGCGGATCTTCAGCAGCTTTCTGACCCTGCCTTTCTCTGGACAGCAGAAAAACAAGGCTAAATAAAATGGATCACAATTTATCCTCAAATGTTTTTCTCCATATTCATTTCCGCAAGATCAGAATGTTTTAAAAATGAAAGCCAATTAAGACATCTCTGTTGAAATATAAAGATCTCTCTCTCTCATTATCTTCCTAGTAGATCTCCGTGTTGGCCGACACCTCCTCACGTCCCAGTATTCTTTGCCTGGCAACCCTGTAACCAAGCACGGCCACGTTGACCTGCGCACTTCCATGGATGGCAAATACAAAGAGATTGCAGAGGTAAACAAAGCAGCAATCACAATAATCACGATGCTTGAATGCATTTTTTTGTGTTTGTTTCTGCTGTTATATAAATGTGTGCTTAATTGTGTTTGTTTAGGAGCTGTTCTCGCGCAGCCTCGCGGAGAGTGAGATGCGGAGTGCTCCATATGAGTTCCCTGAGGAGAGCCCTATTGAGCAGCTGGAGGAGAGGCGGCACCGGCTGGAGCGGCAAATCAGCCAGGATATCAAGTACTACATCCTATCATTCATCATGAAACTCGACCATTGACAGTAGTGCCTAAAATACACAAGCTTTCTGACTTTTTCTCAGTAATATTAAACATATCCATGATTATAACCATGTTTATAACCTCGTAACCTTCAAAGTTCCTAAAGCCAGATGGCCAACAAATTTTTAATGTCGAAGTAAAGCTAATGCTAGTAAAGTAGTAAAGCTAGTCAACCAACAGATGTACTATTGTTACACAGGACGCAACAAAATATTATAGAAACCATTAAAATCAGTGATGCTGTCTACACTGGATACGACACGACAAATCCCTGACAGTAAACTGCTGCCTTGTTCTATTTATGACGTACTGACACAAAATTCAAATGATTTGCAGCGGTCACTTTGTCGCGTCCAGTGTAGACAGACATTTGCTGTTGCGGCGCGACAACTGTCGCATCTGGTGTATGGGTCAGTAAGATATATATGTTTTTTTGTTTTTTTTAAAGAAATTATTACTTATATTCAGTAAGGACATATTAAATTAATCAAAAGTGACAGTAAAAAAAGTAAAAGGTTACAAAATATTTATATTCCAAATAAAGTACTTTCTATTCATCAAAAAAATCTGAGGAAAAAAAAAGTCTTTAGCAACAAAATATATATTGAATAAATATTTGCTTAAAATTCAGCATTGCCACCAAAGGAATAAATTACATTTTAAAATGTATGGAAATAGAAAACAATAGTAAGGTATAATAATATTGTACAATATTACCGTTTTTACTGTACGTTTCATCAAATAAATGCAGCCTTTATGAGCATTAGAGACTTATTTCAAAAACATTAAAAATGTTACCAACCACAAACTTTTGACCGGTAGTGTAGTTAAATAGCCTTCTGGGAACATCAGCGTCTCATGTTGTAGTCCAGCAACTGAAACACAACATATGGCATGCTGATGTCCAACTGTACTTGTCTTTTCAGCTGAAAATGTGTAATGAAAATTTTACTCATCACTTCATGTGCCAATATTAGTCCAACATTCACTGCTCTGTATGCACATGTGACCTTTGACCCACAGTGAGTTAATTTAAATGCCATTTCTCTTGAGGTTTGAGCCTGATATCCTACTGCGAGCCAAACAGGACTTCATGAAAACTGACAGTGCGACAGATCTAGAGTGAGTGTTTAAGATGTTCTGTGATCATTCATGTGGGACCCAGTGTTTTTTAACTAGTATCAGCATGCTGTACCTTTACTCTTTCTCAGGTATATGAAAGAACAAAGCCAGGCACCCAAAGAACTCTATCCTGAGAGAGAGCTCATCCCTGAGAGGGAGTATCAGAGAGTCACGATCTCTGGAGAGGAGAAATGTGGGGTAGCAACAGCTCAGTTTTTCACTTTTCTGTTTTGTTTGTTATACAGAAACAAGATGTTGTTGACAGAACTGAAGTGGACACTACAGATATTATATAAACTCCTGAGGGAGAACCAAGTTTCACACATCCACACACAGTTACACAAATTCCTGAGGGAAACATGAGCTGACAGCAACACAGCTGACAGGTTTTCTCAAGAAAAAGAGGAACTGAAAGAGGGAAATACAGAACATTAATAGTAAAAATGTATAAACAAATACAACTTTTAGAACAGCTTTTTTTACATTCATGAATCTTTGGATCTGGAAGAGAAATGGACCTTTGCTACAACTACTATACTGTACAACTGTCTCCTTAGAAAGGTTAGAAAGATGTAGATAGGATTAGGCAATCACACCTGCAGTTGTGCTGGTGTTCTAAAGATCAGGTGATATTCAGACCAACGGCAAAATTGCAAACGTGATATTATTTTTAAATGAGCCCAATAAATAAGAAGTAAATATTCAGTAACTTGCATTTCAGAGTAACTTTGGTTTTGTTCTGCCAAAGAAATTAGTTTTAAAGTCAAAGCAAACTGCTGAACATCTCAAGCATCTACCGGACAGTCTCTAAGAAATTAGGTTTCATTTCTGAATGAATCTGTGTTTTTAAACTAATCGATTGAGTAAAAGATTCAGTGATTCACTTAAACTTGTTTTCTCCCTTAATGAAGCATGCTGTGTCCAAATATGGCTACTTCCATACTGTATAGTATGCAGAAAACAGTACACCAAAAGAGTAGTATTTCTGAATTTATAGTATTCTAAAAGTACCCGAATTACCTACTATGTCCAACCACATTTGATGGACACTTTACTATCCCATGAAGCCACGGGACAGTAGTTGGCAATGAAGTGTCGCAACTGACACTGGTAGGTCCCATGACAGTGACAACATGGTGGAGGTAGTATGTCCAAATTCTATTCATACTACCCATATTCATACTTTATAGAATGTGTTTTAGTTTGTTTCAAACTAAATGTGGTACCTAGTATGTGATTTTAAGTGTGGCTTCAGTGTTTTTTTAACAAAACGATTAAGTGAATGAATCATTGACCCACTCATACTTATTTCCTAAGACAGACAGACAGACCATGTTTAAGTGAGTCGTCTTCTCTCACACACCCCAGGTTCCATTCACTGACCTACTGGATGCTGCTAAATGTGTGGTCAAAGCTCTGTTCATCAGAGAGAAGTACATCTCTCTGTCCATGCAGAGCTTCTGTAGGACTACAGCACGTTACCTGCAGGAGCAGCTGGGTGGCCAACCTCTGGACCTCAACACCTTTGAGGAGATGCCGGAGTCTTCTGTATCTGCAAGTGGGTTGAACCAGAGTTTTCTGAAGGATGTATTCTGAGGATTAATGATTTATGTCCAAGAATCAGGACCTTATAGCTAAAATGTACAGTAAATGGAAAAGTTTAAGATTGTGTTTAAACTCAATAGAGAGAGACACACTGGATTGATCTGCGTTTAGAAGAGAGGAATAATTTACAGCTGAGTGATTTCATGGAATTGACTTAACTGTGGAAAGAACTGAAGGCATGTGCTTTGTTTGCAGATTCAGCATCTGTTTATGAACCACAAATGATCAGTTAAACCACAGAACAAACACATTTCTGCTCATTAAAGCGGTAGTTCACAAAAATGAAATTTTGTCATCATTACCACCACAATTACAAAATACAATAAAAGTAATTCATATGACTTGCGTGATGAACAGAATTAATAATTTTTTTGTTTGTTTAAAAGCGAAACACACTGGAATGAATAATTCACTGAAAATGCAACGCGAGTCTGTTCTCTGCAATCTCTGATGTAATCAGCCTGGTTTCCTTTATATTACGCGTTAAGGATTGTAAAATTAATCGCATGCGTTAACGCGTTAACGTTGACAGCCCAAAATATTTCACAATATCACTGGTTTTACTGTATTTTTGTTCAGATAAATGCAGCATTGGTGAGCATAAAAATGTTCTTTCAAAAACAAAAAAAATCTTACCAACCCCAAACTTTATTATATGTATAAGTATAATTTTTGTGTGATCAATATTCAGTTACAAAACAAAACAACATCTCCCACTCTTAGGCCTATATCATGTGTTCTCCACAGATGCAACGGTCCACCCTCCTGTCTCAGAAACCCACCCCTATGAGGTGCTAGACCCTGCCAACATGCCCCCAGGATTGGGCTACACTTGCAAGATGGTAGATGGTGTTGTTCATGTGTACACGCACAAGTAAGACTTCTTCCTGTTTACTCACTGACCATTGTAAACGTTATCAACAGTGATAATCTGTGTAATATCTTAGTTTAGCTAGAAATGGAGTGCCTAGAATGGAGTAGTTGTATTTTTTTATTTATTTAAAGGCTGCTGCGCTTTATTAAAAGAGCCATGAAGAAATATCCAGGTGAAATCGTCCATGTAGAACAAGGCCGAGGACAGACTCTATCAGAGGTGTTTGAGAGCATGAACCTGACGGCCTTTGACCTCAGCGTAGACACTCTGGATATGCATGCGGTAAGAACTGTAGAGGTACTTATACACATGCCATCAGTGGTTAGAAAAAATACTTATACCATCACTAGCAATTAGACATAATAATCAATAATAATAATAATAGAAACTGAATATACACTACAGTTGTGAATACACTACTGTTAAAATGTTTGGGGCTTACAGATTTTTATATTTTTGAAAGAGGTCTCTTATGTTCACCAAGATTTAATCAAAACTACCGTAAAAACAGTAATATTGTGAAATATAATTGTGAAATATTGTAATTATTATATTATTAAAATTTTATTCCTGTGATTGCAAAGCTAAATTTTCAGCAGTCATTGCTCATTAGTCTTCAGTTGTATTTTTTTATTTATTTAAAGGAGTTCACTTCCAGAATAAAAATTCCCTGATAATTTACTCACCCCCATGTCATCCAAGAAGTTCATGTCTTTCTTTCTTCAGTCGCAAAGAAATTAAGGTTTTTGAGGAAAACATTCCAGGATTTTTCGCCATATAATGGACTTCAATGGTGGCCAATGTGCTGAAGGTCCAAATTGCAGTTTCAGTGCAGCTTCAAAGGGCTCTAGTGATGTGACATTCGGCACAGAGGCTTCGAAACTTGTATCAAAAAAACCAAACATCTCACAGTGAAGCACTGTACCGGAGTTTGATTCATTTTGCGTCCATAATATGGAGAAAAATCCTGGAATGCTTTCCTCAGAAACCTTAAAGAAAGACATGAAAATCTTGGATGACATGGGGGTGGTGAGTAAATTATCAGGAAATGTTTGTTCTGGTAGTGAACTAATCCTTAAACATTTTGTCTTTTTTGTCTTTTTGTTTGGTCATAATGTACATCAGTTCCTCAGAGCTGGACTTGCCGTACCCAGACCTGCAGGAATACATAGCTGATATGAACATGATGATGGCACTCATCATTAACGGGCCAGTGTAAGTTGTACTGAACACTGTGAGGTTTGTTTCCATTCTGATGCAGCAGTATCACGAAAAGATGATCAAATTACTGATTGAAACAGCTCATTCTGTAAATGTGAGCTGATCCCTGAGTGGGCTCCTTTGCTTGATTGAAATCAATATGTACTGACCTCAGTTTGAACCTGTGATTGAAATGTAAAAAAAAATGAACCTGTCCTCACTGTGATAAAGACCTGTCATTAATTTGTAATCTGAATAATGTCACAAAGATGAAGAGGTGGCAAAGTCTAAATCTAACCCCAAAAATAGCCAGAACTGGTCTGATCTGCCTTAGGTTTAGCATACAGATTCCCGATTGTATATTTTTCACACAGGAAATCCTTTTGCTATCGCCGGCTGCAGTACCTCAGCTCCAAGTTCCAGATGCACATTCTCTTAAATGAGATGAAAGAGTTGGCAGCACAGAAGAAAGTCCCACACCGTGATTTCTACAACATCAGGAAGGTCCGCTATTCAACGGCATGAACACACAAACATTTTGTTGAAGTTCATTAAATTTATTAGTGGTTGTCACAGGAAAAATCTGATTATTTGATTAATCATTGCTGCTCACTTGTGATGTGATTATCACTATTGAACTTTGACATCTTGACCTTCAGGTGGACACACATATCCATGCTTCATCCTGCATGAATCAGAAGCACCTGCTGCGCTTTATTAAAAGAGCCATGAAGAAATATCCAGGTGAAATCGTCCATGTAGAACAAGGCCGAGGACAGACTCTATCAGAGGTGTTTGAGAGCATGAACCTGACGGCCTTTGACCTCAGCGTAGACACTCTGGATATGCATGCGGTAAGAACTGTAGAGGTACTTATACACATGCCATCAGTGGTTAGAAAAAATACTTATACCATCACTAGCAATTAGACATAATAATCAATAATAATAATAATAGAAACTGAATATACACTACAGTTGTGAATACACTACTGTTAAAATGTTTGGGGCTTACAGATTTTTATATTTTTGAAAGAGGTCTCTTATGTTCACCAAGATTTAATCAAAACTACCGTAAAAACAGTAATATTGTGAAATATAATTGTGAAATATTGTAATTATTATATTATTAAAATTGTATTCCTGTGATTGCAAAGCTAAATTTTCAGCAGTCATTGCTCTTCAGTCTTCAGTGTCACATGATCTTTCAGAAATCATGCTAATATGCTGATTTGGTGCTTAAGAAACATTTTTGTTGTGAATGTTGAAAACAGTTGAAATAAAAATATTACACTTTTTTTTCAGGATTCTTTGTTGTTGTATTTTTTTATTTATTTAAAGGAGTTCACTTCCAGAATAAAAATTCCCTGATAATTTACTCACCCCCATGTCATCCAAGAAGTTCATGTCTTTCTTTCTTCAGTCGCAAAGAAATTAAGGTTTTTGAGGAAAACATTCCAGGATTTTTCGCCATATAATGGACTTCAATGGTGGCCAATGTGCTGAAGGTCCAAATTGCAGTTTCAGTGCAGCTTCAAAGGGCTCTAGTGATGTGACATTCGGCACAGAGGCTTCGAAACTTGTATCAAAAAAACCAAACATCTCACAGTGAAGCACTGTACCGGAGTTTGATTCATTTTGCTATAACCACGTGATCTGTGACGTCCGAAGTTTTCACACACAAAATCAGTGACTGCTTCGTATTCTGATTCAAATAACGCGAACCCCTTGTGCAGGTTTCAAGTGTCATTCACTTCTTTGATAAGAATAAATCATAATACAAATAAATATGTACATGTGTAGTTTTGTGCATGTTTATATTTAAAATAGAAATATTTCAAAACATCATAAATGTCTTTGCTGTCACTTTTTGTCCAATTAATGTGTCATTGTTGAATAAAAGTAGGCTATTCATTTCTTAAAAGACTTACTGACCACAAACTTTTGAATGGTAGTGCTTAATATGTTATATCTGGTTGACTTAACAATTATTCATTAAAACCTAATAAAGTGACTATTAACAAAAATATGAACATAAAAACTGTATTTTTGTTCAGATAAATGCAGCATTGGTGAGCATAAAAATGTTCTTTCAAAAACAAAAAAAATCTTACCAACCCCAAACTTTATTATATGTATAAGTATAATTTTTGTGTGATCAATATTCAGTTACAAAACAAAACAACATCTCCCACTCTTAGGCCTATATCATGTGTTCTCCACAGATGCAACGGTCCACCCTCCTGTCTCAGAAACCCACCCCTATGAGGTGCTAGACCCTGCCAACATGCCCCCAGGATTGGGCTACACTTGCAAGATGGTAGATGGTGTTGTTCATGTGTACACGCACAAGTAAGACTTCTTCCTGTTTACTCACTGACCATTGTAAACGTTATCAACAGTGATAATCTGTGTAATATCTTAGTTTAGCTAGAAATGGAGTGCCTAGAATGGAGTAGTTGTATTTTTTTATTTATTTAAAGGAGTTCACTTCCAGAATAAAAATTCCCTGATAATTTACTCACCCCCATGTCATCCAAGAAGTTCATGTCTTTCTTTCTTCAGTCGCAAAGAAATTAAGGTTTTTGAGGAAAACATTCCAGGATTTTTCGCCATATAATGGACTTCAATGGTGGCCAATGTGCTGAAGGTCCAAATTGCAGTTTCAGTGCAGCTTCAAAGGGCTCTAGTGATGTGACATTCGGCACAGAGGCTTCGAAACTTGTATCAAAAAAACCAAACATCTCACAGTGAAGCACTGTACCGGAGTTTGATTCATTTTGCTATAACCACGTGATCTGTGACGTCCGAAGTTTTCACACACAAAATCAGTGACTGCTTCGTATTCTGATTCAAATAACGCGAACCCCTTGTGCAGGTTTCAAGTGTCATTCACTTCTTTGATAAGAATAAATCATAATACAAATAAATATGTACATGTGTAGTTTTGTGCATGTTTAGTTTGTATTAATCCCCACTTCAAAAACACTTCAACTGACAATACCACAATAATCTTCACTTATTTTGATCATATATATGCCTACATGACCCATGCTTATTTTTTTCATAAATTTATTCACACTCATTCATACGACATTTTATTTTTTTATTGCTTTATATAGTTTTCATAGCACAAATGTATTAATTTTTATTAAACAGTCCAAAAATTGCGTTGTTTCACACAGTAGATGCCAAGTCAAATATTTAGTGGGAGTTTCAAACTTAATGAGTTTGCGTGGGATGTAGGTCACTCTCACTAAAAATATGTTGCACAGAGTTGCAGATGCAGTCGCACAAGCTTCATTGGTTTACACTTAAATGACCTGTTGTTCTCTACTGAATGCAAACTGTGACTCTAAATGAATGCTGTACAAAGTTGCACACAGTTTAATGGGTCCCTAATCCATGTGAATTAAAATCTTTACTAAATGAGATTCTTCTCTAAATTGTACATGGAAATAATTGGGCAACATTGAAGAAGTAGTTTTGGAAAGCAGGATGAGGGGGGGGAAAGCTTTTTTTAAATGATAAAAATATTCTCTCTTTCCTGTAGGACCGTAACACGTTCCACCGCTTTGATAAATTCAACTCCAAATACAACCCCATTGGAGAGTCCATCCTCCGAGAAATCTTTATCAAGACTGACAACCATGTTGAGGGGAAATACTTCGGGCACATAATCAAGGTATCTACTCCATATAATCTTTGAGTTTAACAAAACAAACATATGGTAAACATAGTAAATTGCGCCCCCTGCTGATAGTTGTATGTTGGTGCATTTCAGGAGGTGATGGCAGACCTGGAGGAGAGCAAATATCAGAATGTGGAGCTGCGACTCTCCATCTACGGCCGCTCACGAGATGAATGGGATAAACTGGCTCAATGGGCCATCAAACACAAAGTTTATTCAGATAACGTGCGCTGGCTGGTGCAGGTACCCCGGTTATTGTGAGTACTTATTATTCAGAAGCATCGATGTAAGGGAGCAATTTATTATCTGATGTCTACAGTAGGCCTAAATCTTTGATCAAATTAAGAAATACAAATATTTACACTCTTGTTTAAAAGTTTGGGGTCGTTAAGATTTTTTTTATTTTTTTATTTAATGTTTTTTTTATGCTTTACAATTTTAAAATACTGTAGTCACACCGAATTACTTTATTAACATTAACATAAAAGCAAATATCCATTAAAGCTATTAAAGCAGCGAACAATTTTTCTTTTGCTCTTTTTGATTAACATTATTTACATAAGAAATGCACGGATCCGTTATACTGATGTACATTTGATATTTTCTTTACTGTTTACATTCACTTAAAACAACCGACTGGTATTCACCTGCTGTCTGAGAAGGCTATCTGTT